AAAAACAAACAAAAAACAAAAACAAACAAGATCCAACTTGCTGGTAGCAAGATGTGCTTAATAAAGTGGGCAGTGAGTGTATATTTCCCATGGTACCTCTTGCCACAGGTATAACTCTGATTACCTATGTAATCGAGAAGAGCTTCAGCGTGGAGTGTTAGTAAGGGGTGTTGTTGAAAGAGTCCTTATTGTTAAGTATGAGCCAATTTCATGAAGGCATGTTTACAATATAGCCTCCTTATTAGAATTTAACATCACAGTTTGCTGTTTTTAATCTCTGATGTGTCTTCTTTAGCCGTCATTGTATCACTTCAGGAAAAAAAAAGAAGTATAGCAACACTCATGGACAGCAACGTGACGAGCTGATTGATGTGCTGGTTTGCCCAGGTTTGTGTGACTACAGCTGGGCCAAGTGGCGGAAAATGAGGTAATTAGCAGTTAATTGGTTTCAGGTTCTCTCTTAGAGTATAGTAAAGCGTGACTCATCGCCTGGTGTCAGGACGCTGCCAGTTAACTAATTAAAAGCTTTCCAGAGAGTATAAGACTGGCAGGGAACAGCCGCTCGATTTTCATAACGTTCTGTAGTTAGAGTAACTTTCAGATATCGGAAAAAAATGAATGACATGCGAGCTGGGAAACCTGTCGGCGGTCAACCGCTGGAGTTGTTCAGCTGTTCTCATGGCGAGTGTGGCGCAACTTTCACCAGGCAGTGGAAACTCAAAGAGCATGAGACTGTGCACACCGGGGCGGTAAGGAAAATATTCAATCACGCAGTGCCAAAGCCTTTCTTTCAAAACCCTTTTAACTGAAAAATAAAGTAAGAAACCGTAACTTTACAACTATGATAAATGCGTGCAGCGCCCGTGCCAGTGCGCAGTTGCCGGCTGCGGTCGTCGCTTCTCCAGAAGCTCTCACCTGCGGCGCCACATGCTTGAGCACACCGGGGAGAAGCGATTCAAGTAAGTAACTCAAACACGGTTTTCCTTCTCTCAGCTGTCGTCTCACTTTGGTTTCTGATTCATGCAGATGCAAGTTTGTGACCTGTACAAAGACATTCTTTAACGCAAGCAAATTGAAGAGACACGTGCGCTTCGCCCATGGAGACAAAAATAAGTACTTCAAGGTTTGTGTGAATATACACTTATCCACCAGATGGCACCAAAACTACATAATTTACACCAGCTTCGTTTACTTTTGAGATAAACCGGTTTTCAAGCCTTGTCATTTTAATCACTTGTGCATTCCCGTCCTGTAGTGCAAGCACCCAAACTGCTCTCTGACCTTCAAAAAGCGCAGGTTGTTTAAGATGCACCTGAAGGAACATGAAATGGTTGCCAAGTTCAAGTAAGTCCATGTAATAGCTTAGATTCATATAAAATATAGTTCAGATTTTGCTCTGCTTTAACATATACTGACACTACTGTGTGACTTAAAGAAATTGCTGAAGCTGTCAAATGAGTTTCTGTATTAAGGATGATACTTTTACTGCTTTAATCAGCGTTTATACCTGCAGAATGAGCTGCCAATGCCTATGTGGGGTTGGTGTCTGTGATTAATTTTTACTTCTGTCTTTACTCCTGGGATACTTAGATGTTCGAAGGATGGATGCGCTGCCACATTTGACTCCCATATTGCCCGCAAAGCTCACGAGAAGAAGCATGCAGGTTGGTTTAATCTTGGTGGGGACTTGTCGTCTTTAATCTCGGTACAGTTTTTTCATTAAAATGGGGTTGAATGCTTTTGTGTGTAACCTTTTCATGCATTGAAGACAAAATAAACATGGCCCAGAAGGGAGATGGTGGATGATCTCATTTGTCTGGTCTCTGCAGGTTACCGCTGCCCTCATACTAATTGCCAGGTATTTGAACATACCTGGGGGAAACTTCAGAAACACATGATTAAACACCCAGGTGAATTTGACCATAGTACATAGTTTTTGTTTCCCTGCTCAGTGCTTTGTTGGTTAAAGGATGGCCCAGTTAATTGTTTTTTTGTGTTGCAGCCACATTTACATGCCAAGTGTGCAAGAAGGAGTTTAAGAAAGTGGATTCTTTGCGGAGGCACAAGCGGACGCATGCTTCCCACAAGCCTGTGCTGGTCTGTCCCAGAGATGACTGCCAGGCTTACTTTTCTACAACCTTTAACCTGCAGCACCATATTCGCAAGGTGCACCTTGAGCTGCTCAAATACAGATGTTCCTTCCCCGACTGTACTCGCATGTTTGCTATGCGGGTAGGTCTCTAGCAAGAAACTGGAAATGTGTACCTACTTTAAATCAAAAGAGATGCCAGTGAAACATAACATCCAGTTTTAAAGTAGCTTTAATAATAAACTTGATTTGCAATTTATTTTTTTGGAACTTGTGTAGTGACTGTTTTTATTCTGCAGGAGAGTATGACCAGACACCTACTTCGCCATGACCCAAATGCTACCACTCTGAAAGTAAGACCTAATGGTGTAGAAGTAGACTAAAGCACCTACATATTTCTCTGCAAACCTGTTACAATTTAAATTCTTCAGGTCTAAATCTGGGGGTTCACTAATTCATTTATGTTTAATATGTGGAGTTAAACCAAGTTCATTTCAATTTTCTGACTCAACAGAAACGGCAGCGACCCAGGAAAACCTGGCAGAAACGCCTGAATGGACAAAATCTGCCACTCGTGGAGGAAAACCTGCGTCACCTATTTGCTCTGCGCATGCGAATCTCCAGACGTGCCAAGGTGGAAACGAACCTCTCAGGCCTCTTCAATGAGCGCAAGATCCATCACTATGTTGACCCAGAAGTCAATCTGCGTAACCTGTTTGGGATCAAACAGCATCAGGCTCTGGAGAAGAACGAGATTGCGCCAGTAAAAGGTTAAACAAGGATGCTTCCAGGCTTTTTGGTTAAGTTAGTACTTTGTTTCAAAGTTAAACCAAAGTTGTTTTTTTTCTTGTTTAGACAATGGGTCTTTTTCCTTTTGAATGTAGATTGTATACATTAAAATACTTAAATTTCAAAGCAGTGTAACTTGACACATTGATTAGGATGTCAAGCTTTTGAGTCTTATTCTGGAGACGGCAGGTCTCAGCTGAAACACTTATTTTGTAACATGGCTTTTGACCCAATAAAAATAGTTGTGAGTTTCCTCAAAGTGGTGCTTGAATTCTAAGTGCTTGAGTGTTTAGGTGAACTGCTGAAGGTCAGCCCATCAGTGGCAGGTGCTGAAGGACCAAGATTTGTTTAGTCATATTAATTGCATCTCATTGTGAACACACTCAAACAGCTGTTCTTCTCCTGCATCTATCTTTTGTGCTCGCTTCGGGTGCACACATCAGTTGACATTTGCTGAACATGTTGGGGCTCATTAAATATGAACGAAGCGCTGCACATGAGTAAGAACTGATGCACACAGCATGTCGTTTTGGAGGCGGATGAGACTTTGAACACAAAGATGAGTGTCTGCTGTCAGATCTGTACAATGGAGGTTAAGCTGTTGCAGTTTAGAGCCTGGCCTTTATGTTTGGTTACACAAAAGGGGAATGGCAGTTATATGTACAGAGTAAATTTGTCCACCTGTCCAAAGTTGAGCTGCAACTAATTTTCTCCAGTGTACAACCTCGGTTCTTCGCGATTTATGGTGTTACACAATAAAGACTTCAATAGTTCATAATATGGATGCGTCTCCCTACATGAAGGGAGATATTTGAGCTTCTGTAACTTCTACCAGCCACATTTTTAAAAACACATGAAAGCTTTGGCCAATCATACACATACAGACGGGAACAGAAATGCAGAACAGAGAAAGAAATTGCTATTAAAATCAAACTAAACTCTCCTAAAGGTTCTCAAAATTCAGTGTTGAAATTGCATCAATGCATTACACTAAATCTGTGGTAGTGGCCACGTCCACAGATTAAGTTTAATGCAATTTGATGCAAAGGCTTAGCTATGATCTCTGGTTTCAGAATTAACAATGGCTTTAGCATTAGTCGTCATTGTGGTGTATACTGTGCCCTAGCTTATGTTAATGACAAATTCCTAGTTTGTAGACCGGCAGCTCTTTTGGGATTGCATTAAGTTCTCTAGGTGTTTGTAATGAAACCTTAAAATGTTTCACTCCTGTAAATGTCGTCTTAATGGTTCAAAATCAAGTGATATTTATTACACAGACAATTTATGAAGGCATCAGTACTTTTAGGCTGGCTTTAAAATGTTTGAACCGTTAATCCACAATAGTTGGCATTTGCTCATGGGTTAATTGTTCTTGCTTTAGTTTATACCCTTCAAGCTTTTAAGAGTAATGAGGGTGGTGTGTGTTATTTGGCTGGCATTTAGGTGAGGAAAAAAATCAATAGAAGCCACTGGTTGATCTCTAACTTGTTTATTTGCAAGTAAGAAATGACCCTGCAGAAAATAAAATCTGCATTTTAAAATCAAATGGTGTCCTGTTTAATACATTTTCCCACTTCATTTTTGTCTGGGAGTTCAGTAAAACCATTTCCTTGTTATCTGTTGAGTAAGTCCTCTTTCTCTTGGTCTAGTGGAGCAAGACGAAGTCCATTTCAAAGCTTCAGTGCAGCTCTGCAACAGCCTGTCACTTTGAGTTTGAATGGTGTCTTTACTTCTGTTTCTCATTGCTTAGCCGGAGGTCATTGTGCTGCCTCTGGCCTCTTCCCTTTTTTGATGTCATACATTATTCTATATCGCACCACAGCTGACCTACATGCTCTGCCGAGCTGTAAGATCAGTTTTCAGGTTCACACAATCATCCTCCAGCAGTTAACCGTGTCTGCGTCATCCGCAATTCTTTCCCATGGTCACTGTATAGCTCATTCCTTTATAAAATGTCATTCTCAAAGCACAGATAAAAGCATCAAACACTGAGAGCCTCTCGAGATCCTGATATTGCTTTGGAAGTGTGATGTGACTTTCAGGGTAAGACGGAAGCAGAAATTTAAAAGGCGTGTGTTTCTATGGTGATGCACACAGTAAACAAGATTTTTTTTTGTCAATAGATTAAAAAATATTTATCTTCAGAAGAACTAGGACAGTGTTTGCTGTGGAAAATACTGGAGTGATTGGATGTTCCTTGTTGACAGAGTTGATAATTGTTTTCAGCAGGTGCCACAAGAGTCAGCGGGCTGTCTGATGTCAGGGGCCAAGTGCTGGATGGATACCAGCAACACTATCAAACTGATTCACTCAAATTTAACTGCACCCTCATCACCCTCCTCTGGCTCTCTGTAAAGGCCATGCCAATTATCCACAGAGTGAGCATGACCTTTGGTCTAACTTTCTGAGGTTGATTTTTGCAGCTTGTGCGTCAGAGTAGCACAAAAGCAATTTTACAATACCATCACTGCAAGGGTGACTAGGACATGGTTTCATATTTACGACTATCTGATGAAGTATTGGTTTCATTATTTATTGTAGCTGTTCTTGTTTCCAAGTCCTTAGAAAGGCTCTTTTAGTTCCAGGATATAAATCATCCAGTCTCAACCATCCATCCATCCATTCGCTTCCACTTATCCTTTTCAGGGTCGGGGGGGGGGCGCTGGAGCCTATCCCAATTTTCCCTAATTTATACATTTTTATTCACACCTTTCAACTTTTATCCAAACGAATCTCAACTTGCAGTTTAACATTCATGGCTCTTCTTTAACCTTATATATTGTTTGGGAAATACTTTTTAACAGCACTGTAGGTCACCTGGTGAACCAAGTGAGCTACACCAACAACTCAGTCTGACGTTGACTTTGCAGACAAGTTTGAGGCTGACCATCAGTCAGCTTCAAAATAAGCCAATCAGCAACCAGCAAGAGGAGACTAAGCGATGTGCAGGATGGTGAAGCTGAATGATCGTCTGGCCCAACATATGAGCCAATGTGTTCCAGCGAGGGCCATCACAAGTGGTGGTTGCTCTTGTGCATCTCCCCTGATCTAAACACAGTTCGTAGATGCAGTAGCAACAAAAAAGAACAGATGCAATGCATGTCCCAAGTTGCCCAGGACGATGCAGTACATCTATTAAGTGTAAGGAGTACACATGCAACACACAAAGCAAAACTGCCCCCCCGTGTTTTATAGGCTGAATAGGCATTTGTTCAGTGGGCTGATGCAGTCTATACTTTCAAGAGTACAGTAAATTTTGTAATTCATTTCAAAGAAGCATCAATACTTAGAAACCTTGATTCAAGATAAACGTTTTTTGTTTGTTTGTCTGTTTGTTTTTACCATGTAATGGTTATGATTGTTTTTACTTTAAATTACATTTTATCAGATGGGAATTCCTGATATTAACCATATATATAGAATATATAATGCATCAAACTGGGATAAAGCAAACATCTGTTAAGTATTCGTAAATAAATTAGTATGACTTTATTGATTTAATAAGCCAATAATGCAGTGGATCTTACAGATCCGCTAATGTTGGCTGAGTAACAAAAAGACGAACTCCATATTAAACATGTAAAACTAATATACAGCAAATGTATCAGCAACAAAAAGGAAATTATTATGTATCTAGTGATGATGTAGAGGTTTGACCATCTTCTTTGCGATATGCTCCCTCTGTGCTTCAGTGTAAAAACATCTATGTTGTATTTTTATACAACCATCACTCTCTTGATTTTTAATTAACGGTGGCATTGCTAGTGTTCTTTTCCACTCTAGGGAAAAATGCATCAATAATACCTCTGACTTACCTCAATTCTGCTATGAGTCATTTTTTATTCTGATGACGTAAGCTTCTCGATAAAATTGCCTTGACCTACAGGAGCTAAAACTAACTGAGAGGCTTGAAAACCAACAAAATGATTCAGCTAATGTCTCAGCTACAGTGAAAACCTGCATTTTTGTTTTCATCTCTAACACAACAAACAGGAACTCTATTTCAGTTGTAATTTTACAGGTAAGAAAAGCACAGTGTGTACGCTTAGTGTTGATGCCTCGTGCTGGTACAACTACGCTGCTCAAAAAATTAAAGGGACACTTTGAAAACACATCAGATCTCAATAGGGAAAAAAATCATGCTGGATATCTACAGTGACATGGACAGGATAACTTGTTATGGAATGAAAGGAAGCCACATTGTTTGATGGAAATTAAAATGATCAACCTACAAAGGGCGTAATTCAAAGATCACCTGAAAAATCAAGGTGAAGAAACGAGCCCATTTTGCCAAAATTTCATTGTAGGAACACAAAATGATATTCAGTAGGTTGTATGGTCCCCACTTACTGTTACTTCAAACCTGACAATGTTGGGGCATGCTCCTAATGACATGACGGATGGTGTCCTGAGGTACACACTGGCAGTGTTAAGTAGTGTTGAATATCCCAGAGGTGTTTGCTAGATTTAGGTAAGCCAAGCTCAGGGGCCAATCAATAGTATCAATTTCTGCATCCTCCAGGAACCGTTTGCATATTCTCATCACATGAGGGGAGGACCCAACTGAGGAACAGGAGGAACCCGATACCCACTGCACCAGCACAGGGTTTAACAATGGGTCCAAGAATTTCATCTCGATACCCAATGCCAGTCAGGGTGCCGTTGCCAAGCCTGCAGATGTGTGTGCGTCCCTCCATAGATATGCCTCCCCAGACCACCACCAAACCAGTCGTGCTGAACAATGTTAGGAGCAGCATGACACTTCTTCAGAGCCGATCATGTCTGTCACATGTGCTCAGTGTGAAGCTTCTCACATGTGTGAAAAGCACAGGGTGCCAGTGGTGGAGATGCCACTTCTGGTATATGGCAAAAGCTAATCCAGCTCCTCGGTGCTGGGCAGTGAGCACAAGGCCCTCTAGAGGAATGTGTGACCCCCAAGCCTCATGAATTCTACTTCTAATTGTTTGGTCAGAAATCTTCACACCTGTGACCTGCTGGAGGTCATTTTGTAGGGCTCTGAGCTCATCCTGTTCCTCCTTCCACAAAGGAGCAAATACTTGTCCGGCTAATGGTTTAAGGCTCTTCTACAGCTCTGTTCAGCTCTCCTCCAGTATCTGCCTGTCTCCTGGAGTACTCCATGCTCTTGAGGGTGTGCTGGGAGACACAGCAAAAATGAGAAGGGAAAAATGTCAGTAGCCTCCACCTATAAAACCATTCCTGTTTTTCTGGTGGGGTTGTCTCATTGGCACCTG